TTGCTCGATCGTTAACTTCGATTTACGTCAAGTTCCTGTTGATTTCAAACCTGTTCGTTATATCGTACCAATTATGAGATGCTTTCTGTAATGGAGAAAAACGTCATAGAAACGAAGGAATATCGTAGGTACGAATGGTAGGTCGTTAAAGTTTTGATACTTTTTCCATTGATTATACTCTGAGTTTCATTGAGAGATTTACCGATTCTGTAATACATTTGCAGTAGATTAATTATCTGATTGGTCTCTTTAATGGTAATATGGCGCTATTATGAAAGAAAGTACAGCATGCTATTAAAAAGAAAGATAAAGGTGATCTGAAAATCTTCGAAAGCCCTCTACTTCAGCTTTTGTAAGCGAACTTTCTATATTTAAAAAATAATTAATAGACAAATAATTAAAGAAACGATAGGATACAATCAAGTATTTCTTTGTTCATCTTGCGTACAAAGAATCATATTCGGTCGTTTCTCGATTTCTTGAAATACCTTTTGTCAGGAAATTTCTTAACTTCACAATATCGGTTTTTCTTAACAAAATTTCCTCTGCTCGCGACGTAGCATCCCTAAGGAGGCAGACTCACTTGACACGACACAGCGTCATCTAATCTATGACCTAATCTCAAACGCAAGTACAGTTCAGCTGGTCCAGCGGGAGCGCCGGAGAGGGAAAGAGAGATGACGATATGTGACTAAGTATACAAGTATGTACATGTTGCCACGAAATTGGAGCAATAGAGATGGACATGAAAGCTGTGGCACTGAGAAGGACAGTGATAAATATATATAGAGAGAGAGAAAACGGGCCAGAGAGAACAAGATGGAGGAAGAGAGAGGGAAATGGACGTTCAGGCATTGGCAGCACCGTATTAGTGCACCGATTGCCCGCAGCAAGTCTGGGCTAAGTGAATGGGTCTGCGGAGGGCTTTGCTGATTATGGTGTCGTCATTGATCCAGATCGAAATTGGCTTGCTTCTGTCATGGAACGCGCCCAGAGGACCATTAATATCCTCCTGGGGGCCTGGATGGAAGCAGAGAAATAGCCAGGGGAAAATGGAAAGGGGTAGATGGTCACAAATTTTGCGGTATACGAAGACTTCGCGCGACCCTGTCACCATGAATCTATTCCGTAATTAGACTATTAATTTTGGATCGGGATCACTTTCGCTCTGACTCTGGCTTTTTATGAGGTTTCTGGAAAGACTTATAGGCAACCTCTAGTGATTCTGGCATTGGTTTAATGATTTTTTCATTGATTTCTCCCGTTTGCGTTTTTCGGGAAGACGAGTGAACTCAAACGTGTGAATTGTCAATCTTTTTGTTAGGATATTTTTAATTACGGATCCCGTACTTTTTACACTTTTACACGGTAATAAATTGTATAAAATAATTTTACAGAAATTTATAAATAATTATATAAGGATCTTCGTATCACGAGATTGCATCGTCTAGTATGATATTTAATAATAGCAAATTAACTTGGCAACATCTTTCAAGTAACATCGATTCGACTGAAATTTCTATAGAATCACACACAAATAGAACGAGCTCTATGGTCTGGAGCAAGCACGGAAAGAAGAATGGAAGGAAAGGAAAAAAAAGAAGTGATTACAATGGTGAATCCATCGAGTGTCTGCATTCAATTCGTGAGATTGAATTGGTTTTCTGAACGAGTTTGTGCAAGATATACTGGTTCGATAATGTACGTTGACGGACTTCATAATTAGGGGAGAAGTCAATTATATGGAAATGTGGCGCTTTCCTTTGTCGGACGCGCTCGGAATTCTTGCAGGTTCTTCTTGTACGGTATTGTACATTCGGTCTTTCGAAAACTATCATTGTACCATCTGCGAATTACGAATGAGAGCAGCTTTGCTATTACCATTTTAAATTACGACCGTTTTATCCTATAATATTTATCCTTCTGCGCTCGTTTTGGTAATCGATTCATCGAGACAATCGACAAACAATCTAACGGGCCAACATGCATCCGATAAACAAGCTGTCCATGGTCGAAAGAAACACATTTGCCATCTTTTCAGCAGCACAAAAGCGGCGATTTCTTTCCTCCTTAACTCCCACCCTCTATCAGATTTCGAGATCAAAGGATTAATTACAAGCCTGTCTCCAATTCGACGCGATAGAAAGTCCCTTAATTTCGAATTTCCAGTGTGTCACGCCGGTTCGCGAGAACAAAGGTTATAACTGATAACAGTGAACGCGAAACCGATATCCTGTCGAAGATATATAGTCTTTCCAATCTGTTGGCAAAGTGGAAGTTATAGTTGGGCTTTTGCGGCTGGACAACGCACGAAGGGTAACTGGAAACGTCAAGTCAAAAGAGAGGTACTTCCATGACAGACTTTTAGGATTGTCGAAAGATTGTGCGGCTCTATATCCTGCTCTATTGAGTAATTGAAGATCCCAAGGAAGATACCTACTGGCTATCTCTCGAATCAGATTAAAAGCTGTCTCGTTACGCGAGATCAAAGGAATCCATTTTCTAGTGGTCGGGTAAAATACTCGTTTCGAGTTGCACTAACGTCGATTGCCGTTCCGGTTGGGCCGCAAAGGAAGACGCACGTAGATGGTAGTAGCCTTCGTGGCCGATCATTGCTCTTTTTTCATTGCCTCTTTCTCTTATTCCCCAACCCCTCGTTTATCTGCCCCTTGTTCACGGCCTACCTATCCATATCTGTCCATTGCCAATATCTTGCGAAGATGGTAAGAACCGACGCGACGATACAAACAGGATCCCTAGGTCAGATAAGAGTTAGTGCTCACTTGTTGACCCGTTTCAATGGTCGTAATTTATCGAGATACGCGAGACGGGCTGGAGGTGTGGCCAGTTGCTGAAAGATCTGGACTTATTACTGATTTATCGGGGAAAAAGTAGGATTAATGGTGTACACCATCGGTCGAAAGCATTTGCTTGGTTGGTTTTCACAGGATGTAATTTTATTACAGAATTGTTGATAAAATAATCGCAGATTATTTTGTTGCTTATAATTAGATTGCGATATTTTATGCATCTACGGGGAATTAGAAAGTGCAAAAATGTACACAATGCATGTAATACTGTTGAAGTAATTACTTCAAGGAAAGCTCTACATCTTTACTTTCGTATATCCGTGACCTGGATACCGCTGTTACAAAGAGAATAGAATTTAGTGAAAAAATTCAAAATAAGGAGAGGTCTATATTATTGTGCCCTTGAATCTAAATTTTGTTTTGGACTACAAGGTTTAGAAACAAAAGGGTTATAAGTAGATTTCTATTGCTGCTTCCTGTAGCCTTCAGCTAGAACTACAAGGTTAACTTTTTAATAATGTCCTTTGCTATAAATATATGAGCGTGCTTCCTATCATAGCTTTTTCTATCGTATTGTATTGTAACACTGTAAGAGTGAGAATCTGGATCAGCATACACTATACCTGAACTTATATTTATACTTATACTTACCATATACCTTTACTTATTTCAATATATTTTTCTATTACAAATTCATCCACTCGTTCCTCTATCAGTCAATCTCAACAAATACAAATACATACGAAATGTCCAAATATATTTTAATATATATTTGTATAAATATATTTTAATACAATAATATTTATTATAATTTGTAATGAAACTACATAATGTTCCATTTCTTTAATTATATTCATGAGAATATAGAGACGCATAAAAGTTCGTCTATTTACAAACGTTATAGCTCTGTTCCGTATACAAATATACGTATGCAAATAACGCATAGGACGAAATGTTTGTAGCTATCATTTACTTAAAAATTTCGCCAAATGCAATTACAAACGCCCTAATTAATTTGCACTTATTATCGATCTACCGATATTGATGACATACATATACCAATCAACAATTTGTATTATTAATTAAACGTTAAATTACCTCGTGCAATTAAGCACAAACAACAAAATTACCAATTACGTGTTATTCCTTGCATTGATATATTCACGTATGTGCGTTATATATACCAACAATGAAAAAGATTCTAATGACTAACGAACACGTTGTTCCGTCTCTTGCAAAATTTAATTCCAAATATTTTTATTAAATCATTTGGAAATTAAATAATCTCCGATGTTCGATCCCAATTAAAATGCACTACTAGATTGAACATACATTTACCAATTAATCGTATTCGGGTATTTAATTAAACACGAAACCATTATCGGAATTTTTCGATCGACACTGCTGTAGTAATGTATTCGACTCGTACTTAACATTCCGTGATTTCATGCACTGTCTGTAAGCAAACGTTGCACAACCAATTTCTATTTCCTCCAGTTCGACAGGTTCTCTCCGAATTTAATTGAGCGCTCTTGAATTACTCCCGAAGGGTTTAGGCATAAACTTGCTTGGGATTTACCGATACGTTCCTTCTGAAGCCAGTCGAATAGTTTCAATCGAAAGTTAGCAGGTTTCGGTGCCATTAAACGGTAAGTAATCATTCCCACCAAAATTGTCTCCGAAGTGAAATTCGAAATGACTAGGAATTTCCAACTGCGTGAGCCAAGTTGCGATGATAATATCGTTCAAATTTTCCACAATAATTTGTATGTTTTATGATCCCACGCTTTACTATTTATTATAGTTGTTGGTCTACATAGTAGTTTCTATTTTATATATTATCAATTTTCTCTTTATTGCAGAACGTCTACAATAATTCTCTAAAGTTTCATTTCACGTGTTCATTTTAAAACAGAGGAGTCGAGTGTCGTTCACCGGGCTACAATAATATTTGTACGGAAAGTCTCTTTAGACGGTAGGTCGAAGACAGTTGTTCAAACAGAAACCGCACGATCGAGGGTCGACAAGGTGCTCGTAAAGTTTGTTTAAAACGCAAAACAATAACGTTAAGTTGGATTGAAGTAATTAAACGCGGATATCTCGTCACGTTGGCAAAGTTGAAATTGTAATTAGAGATGACTGAAAAAGCTACCAGGGACCGGGTTGGGATCTGTGTTATTTTACGCTCACCTGTGCACCGACGAGACCAGCACGTAATCTAGGAATGTCTGTGTGACTCCAGTCTGATCTAGCCCAAGGATCAACTCTGCCGAGATCGCTGCTCAGATTGACCTCGCCGAGTTGATTGTGTACGAACTTTCTGACGTTCCAGGGCAAATCGTTGTGCCTGGGGAACAAAAACGTGGAAAACGCTTCGTGAAGAATTACTTAATACAAATCGCTCGCTAACTATATTGCTAGATAGGTAAACTATATTGCTACATCTTTTTACGTAGATTATCCTTATGTACTATCCAGGGCCCTTTTATACGATAATTTACCAACTAACAATATTCGTAAATCGATACACTACTACTTACGAACTCCTTTCTTATAATTTTACAACTTTATACCCACAGAATAATAAGTTGTACAATTTGTAATTTGTACAATTTACCTGTACAATTTTAGTTTTTTACCTAGCTCGTCATCGGTAGTTTGTAATTTGTAAAATTTCGCTAATGATTTTAATTCAATCGTGCAAGAAGGCCTGGACGAAAGAGAGAAAGTAAAATGTAATAGATATTCAAATAGTAATTGGAAATCATTAGAACCTGTGAATTATTAATTCGTTTATGTCATAGAATAAATGGTATTCGTAGATGCTTGCAAAAACTGGAAGGCTGATTTCACTCGAATTTCGATCGATACCTCCGTTAGCTTTCTGTGACGCGATTCTTCCGTGAATGCACGAGCTTACCCGTCGATCAGAGGCACTTCAGTGAGGATCCTCCTGATCACGTCCAGCCTCTGCTGATGCGTGACAGGCGCGGATTGTAGAAGAAGTGGTAGACAAAGCCCTCCGAGAAGCAGAACCATCACTAGGATCAAGATGGTCGCCAATACTCGGCATCTTCTGCGAGGACTCTCTTCCCTGCGGTCTTTGCTGCTGCCGCTACTTGGGGAATCCTCGCACGGCGGTGGCAGTCGCACTGTGCCGTTGCACGGTGCCACGTCTGGCAGTTCTGTTAGGCACGTCGTCTGCAAGCCAGAAATAATTTCTGAATGTTTTTGGGACAAAAACTCAATGGAAATAAGGAAAACTAAAATAATCCACACATAGAATTTCGAACTTAAAATAGACTTTAAACTTTCACGTTAATTCGATCGGACATTTGTGGCCCTCCGGGTTTCAAAGTTGTTTTGATCGAGAGATCATGTATGTTAGAAAATGTTATTTATGCGTTTAAGATATTTTTTTCGTCAATAATATGATTGCCTTGTATGCCATCAGAGGCAAAAATCAAATAAAGGAGTTATATTTCAGATATAACTAATTTATATACACATTTGTAATAATATGGAACGGTCCAAATATTCATGGACGGCAGTGTACAAATAATGCATAGTTAAATATGAAGAGGGAATAAAACTGACCCAACTGTAGAAAAGGACAATGATATTAACTGAATTAATTATGTTATTAATTGGCGATCAAATGAACAATTGTAACTACATTTCCATATTTAATTCCAAGCCGATTTACCTAAATTGCTGTATTCTTTTAATTTTATTGTGAAATGTGAAACTGTAATACAGTTAAACAAATTTGTGTCCATTGAAACCAGTCATTAACGAGCATTTAATTGTCTCTTCGAAAATATCGTAACAGGTCATCGTTGGCTAATTCGCAGCTGAATGAATGGCAACCATAACCTGTTCGTATAAAAAGATAACAACCAGAGCTACACCGACACGTAACCGAGGAGATATCCTCCAGAACTACCGACTCGCATTGCAGACACCGCGGAACTTCTCTTCACACTTATCCTAACTCCTATAAAGTAGAGTAAGACTGAGACCGGTTTTCCACGCGTGTCTTCAAATCCTTCTACCATCTACTAACACCCTGAGCACCGATGAAACTTTTATTGGGCTGACACGAAGCAGAGGATTCTTTCTCCCCGTATAATAACAAGTTCGCAACGACTTCGGGCCGATGTTGAATTTATATGATGATTTTAAGCTTCGATTGATGTTATTGAAACGTAGCTTACCTCTGTACTTTACATGGTAAGGATAATTAACGTTATTCATAAAAAGTGTAATGTATAAAACGTATATAATTAAATAAGATAAGATATTTGATCCATCTCAAATTTAAGGCTCAATGAGACACAACGTCTCAATGTGAAATTTTTGTCGATATGTTTTTGTCTACACATCATTAAATAGGTAAACACGACGTTTTATATGTACTGAGCTAATACAATAGTTCTTTCTCGGGGGAAATTTCAGTTCTTCCGTATTTATGAGACAGTGTTTTAACCGAGTTGCTGCATAATCCTATCTCATTGAGAAGGCTAACGGATCATCGAGTTCCATGTGCTAATTGTCGGTCCTTTCACCGTATAGGTAATTCCGTCCGTAACTCTGGCAGTTTAGGGCAGCATTGTGCACCATGGAAAGCAAGGGAAATCCCAGTTTCATTCGGATTCCTCTCGTTCCGCAATTCTCGGGTTTCTTCTATATACACATGCGATATCCACTAGAAACTTCGCATCCCGGTGCATCCGCATTATTGTGCGCCATAAATACAGGAAACTCGCCGCTGCCGTCTACACACGACCAAAGAGAGACACAGAGTTGTACGTCAGCCAGATAAAAGTTTCGCCGATGCTCGAAGTGCCAGCTTCTTTCAACTTCCTCGCTTCCGCAGTATAAAAACGTTATATCCAGCGACAACGAGGCGGATTGCGGATGCGGACGAGAAGACCGTTGAAAATTGCTAAAGCGCGATCATCGTCGATCGAAATAAGAAGCCAGATTCGTGGAAACGTTACGTATGATGGATATTAGGTAGTTGTATAATGAACATACGATATATGAAATATCGTTTCGAGATAAGTACCTTTTAGTAAGCGTAATTTAAACTTAAAATTACAGTACTCTTATTTGTAACCCGTGATCTTGGAAAACATTTGATAAAGCTGAACGTAAATTGGGGTTTTACAGGGATTACCGGCTAATGGGAAAATTGGATTCATTTAGGCGAAACACACGACCACCTAACGCGTTCGTTCGTGCGAAATTTAATTTTCCTTTTAATTGATCGATACTATTTGGAATTCGTATTCGAATTTCAGTTTTAATTAGAATAGATCTACGATGCATTGGCGTAATGTTCGTATAAACTATTGGGCTGCGTGGCGTTACGGTACGTTAACAAGGAATTTCGTGCTGGTTAAATGTTATTAATGTTACACGCGGTTCTGTCGAAACTTCTCGTAAATAAGCGTTTAATTACACGCGATCGTTGTTTGATATGCACGGTTTGAAACATGTCGTAACCGACCGTATCTTCCGCATCGATGGATTCGAAGTTTGTGGTCCACGTTAATTGATGCATTTGTATCAAGGTTCCAATTCGTTACGATGTTTTTCAAACGTAAGGCCGTTTGTATTTCCCGTAATTATTTCACTTCGAACTTAGTTATAACACGATATTTATGCTATACAAAATTTATATACGTATTTACATACTCAATTACATATAATTTTAAATATAATAAAACTCATATGTTATTCCATTAAAAATGTATCGTGAATAATATTGAAAAGTTATTCACACACGCGCGCACGCACGCACGCACGCACACACTCACTCACACCTTGTTTGAAGCTGCGTAAGTAGTATGGTCTACGCTTAGTCCGCGCATAACGCCTTGTTCTACTGACAACTTATACGCTGTCATAATGAAACAGCCGCTGTCTATCTCATCCCAAGTGAGCCCAAAGAATTGATTATTCTCTGAATATCTCAGAGTGTATAATAGTCAGGTGATGCTGTCAGAGTACTGTGATAATGCGCTCATTCTAAAATCTTTCGGGGCCAAAGCCGCGAACTGTCGTTCGACTTTCGAACTTCCGAACGTTCCCATGCACTGCCTAGTTGTCTCTGTTCGTCACTTCATCGCGTCCTTCTTCTTCGTGTATTCTCCTCTGAGATTCCATTTTCTGTCCTCCTGCTTCCTCCTTCCTCGTTACTGGCACATCGCCACGCGTTAACGAGAGAACAAGATGAAACTTCGCCGACAGATATTCCTTAGCAACGGAATTCTCCGTGCACGCTTTGGGAACCGAAATACTCAGCATTGATGTGGCATCACGTACACCCCGAGTTCCGGGTTTTCTGTGCGGTCGAACAGTCCTGCTCCTCTGTTCAAGGCCATTCAACCGATCAGTGTCGCCGGATGCCCATGTTTCGTTACAGAATAGAAATTGTCTTCCAATGCAGATAGTGGTTTGATGGATTGCTTACCACTCCTCCGACGACGTTTGCGTTCGTTTGGGCGTCACGTTTCAATTCGTATCATAATTTTGAAGCTGAAATTTACTGCGTGTATAAGCATTCACTTAAACATCTATCGCACCAAGAATGGAGAAAAGTATTCGATACGTTTTTCGGATATATCGTCAAAAAGAGATTCGTGAAATACGTTAAAAGTACGCTCACCCATATGTGGAGCGACTTTAGAGAAACCATTCTTGATATCTCGCAACTTCATGCTCTTCAGAGAGACCCAGAATTCCATTTTACCGTTCGTTCGGATTTTATCTCGTTTCACAAAGTGTGTCAACATTTTCTACCCATTCAAAGCAATCGAGCAAAGCCAAAATAATTGCCGCACAATAATTGTTCACACTTGTAACTTCGCCTCGTTTGCCAAAGCGGTGCGCTGCAAACTAAACGCACGCGGTAGCTGTCAGAAAGTTCCTGTGATCATCTAGCGCGTTGAATTCATTGTACAGTAATAATTATCGTCCGTTCGCACGCATCTGTTCGCTCTTGACCGGAATAAAAAGAACGAAAATTGGAGTGCGCGACACTTTCGTGACCGTGGTAATTGTTTGAAAGTTTTTCAGTTAAGCTCGTCAGACTCCTTACGTTAAGGAAGCACGTTAATTGTGGCGACTGAAAATGAAGCGACGAGATAATGTCGTTAGGGGAAACGTAACGGTTTTTTTTATTGTAGTTTCCTTCGCGACTCGACCGCGTCCTCGATAAATCAGAATTATTACGCAATGCGGAACCAATTTCGATATCTATCCTCGGGGCGAAATTGCCAATTCATTTCACAGGCTTTCTCGAAAAATTACGATCGTACGGGATAAAAAGTAATTGAAATTTCGGGAATTCTCGCGATGAAGCACCGATCGAGTTTCGAGTTTTATCTCGATGAAGTTTACACGTTTTACGTTGGACTAAAAAAGTAAATTTTTCAAGAAATCCTTTTCGTCTCTAATCACGCATACTGTCTTAGACCGTGGATCTTTTTATCCATTAAATATCATAATAAACATTATACTCTACATATTTCCTATATTTTTGCATATTACCTGTATGTATTTTGAGCGTTTTCGCAATTTTAAATTTCCCATAAACGCATAAAAACTCGCGAAAGAAATACTTGCTTTAATTACTAAGTAACATAAAAAACATAAAATCAACAGAAACCGACCAATCGTACCTTTTGCATGCGGCCTTCGTTTATCTTCTACCATGAAAATGAGTGGATTTCCTATTTCGAACATTAAAGTAGACAATTAAAGATCGCGTCTTTAATGGAGCATTCTCTACAATTGAGTTTTACCAGGTGGTTCGACATAATTATTCGGTCGGAGGGTTGCTTAAGGCGCCTTGCTCAATTGCAAAATCGATTGCCGCCGTAATTTTCCGTTGTTCTGTCGCCTTCCGTTTACGTACTCCTTGCCGTCGTTTTTTGGCCATCGTCTGTTCTAGTAATTAAGGAACGCTCGACGGCGAAGTCGTAAATGGTTATTAAAGGCCGCGTGTTACGGTCGTTATAGAGTTTCTACGAAGGTGGCTTCATTAATTAAAAATTCTTTAAAACTAGTTCCTATGGTTGAGCTTGTGCGATACCCGCGAGACATCTCCCGTGGACTTTGCCGTGGAAAAAACGGACCTCGACGCACAAAGTGACTCTTCTCTTTTCTTTTTTTTTTTTTTTTTTGTTTCT